CCGAGGGGCTTCCGGAGTCAGAGATTAAAAGAAGATCATTAAAAATTTTCAACAGTGCAGTTTCTGTGCTGTGCAAGGATTTAAACCCAGATTGAAATTTTTCTAAAATATCATTTGATTTAAGGTGCGACTGGAGCTGGTTAAGAACTACCTTTTCTAGAACCTTGGATAGAAAAGGCAGTTTAGAAATAGGCCTAAAATTGGACAAGACAGATGGGTCCAAATTGTGCTTTTTTAGCAAAGGCTGCACAATGGCCTGTTTAAAGGCAGCTGGGACACAGCCCTCTTCGAGTGACTGATTGATCAGGTTTAAAATACAAGGACCAACAGAATCTAAAACATCTTTAAACATTCTCGCAGGCAGGGTATCTAAAGGACAGTTAGACACTTTAAGTGTTTGAACAGTCTGCAGTAATTCAGACAGAGAGATGGGCTCAAAGTCTGCAAAAACAGCTGAACAAGGAGAGACAAGACTGGGATCCACTACAGCACATGAGGTTGAAGAGCGCAAAGAAGACACTTTCTCTTTGAAAAATTTACAGAATTGGTCGCACAAAGAAACAGATGGGGAAACACCAGTGTGTTCAACTGGGTTTACAATACTGTTTAACACATTAAAGAGAACTTTGGGGTTGTTACAATTTTTTGGTAACAAGGTTGGACATGTAGTTGGTCTTTGCTGATTTTACAGCTCTTTGGTAGTTTTTAAGAGAGTCTTTTAAAATTCCCAGGGACACATGAAGTCGGTCTTTTTTCCATTTTCTCTCCGCGCGGCGACATTCACAGCGAAGAGCACGCGTTGTGGCATTGTGCCACGGCTCTCCAGGCTTTGAGCGCATGTGCGTAAAAGGCGCAATAGAGTCAAGAATCTCGATGCAAGTGGAATCAAGGAGGCTAACCATGTCATTAATTTCCAAGTTGGTTACGGAAGCGCTCAGAGGCGAGGCATTAAAAGCTGCGGAAAAAAGAGGAGCCGTAGTAGAGCAAATACGCCGCTTGCTCACGGGAACGCACGCATTTGCTTTTGGGCAAGACATCGAAATTGAAAACAACACAGGCATATGATCAGAGATCCCCAAGTCACATATGTCTCTGACATTCACATTTAGCCCGTGAGACAATACCAGGTCTAAAATGTGCCCCTTATTGTGGGTCGGAACATTTATAGACTGAGTCAAGCTAAAAGAGTCGAGAATGTTCCGAAATTCCTTGACTAGAGGTTTTGATTCGCAACAAACATGAACATTAAAATCACCAGCGAGTATAAAATAGTCCCATTTCAGAGCCATGACGTCGTCATTCAGGTTGGGTGGCCAGCTGTTTGTGTGTCTTGGCCCCAAGAACAGGGGCGCCCCGCTGTCGGCTCAGCGGCTGGCGCACTGGGTTGCCACGGCTGTGCGGCGGGCGTATCAGACGCAGGGTCTGGCCCTCCCGGTGGGCTTCAGGTCGCATTCCACGCGTGGGATGGCGGCCTCTACGGCCCTTCTCAGGGGGGTGTCGGTCGAGGACGTATGCCGTGCGGCTTCTTGGGCTTCGTCCTCCTCTTTCGTCCGGTCTTATCTTTTGGATGTGTCGGACCGGTCGGTGGCCCATTCCGTGCTGAGTGCAGCGGACTGAGTTAGACCGTTAGGTCCCTCCTCTGAGGGGGCCTTCGGTTTACTTTCCGCCCTGGTTCAGGAGCTCTTGGGAGAGGCATCCTACAGGTGCGGTACTTATATGTGTGTTTTGGTCGGTCTGGTAGTCCACGTCAGGAGCCCTTGGGAGAGGCGTCCTGTGACTACGGATGACCTATATCTGTGTTACGTGGGGGTATCCTTGGTAGGAGTGGCCCTGTAACACGCATTGTTTCTTCTGCCCTGAGTCCTCTCACTTTGTGAGGGTCTTGCTCGGGCGGAGCTCCAATCACCCTTCGCTGGCCTGCTGGGAGTACATTTTCCTACGGCCTCCGCGTTGTGTCCCACTAGCGAAGTCCTAAGGGACGTAGCACCATGACGTAGAATTAATAGTTACTTAATGTAACTTAAGTTCTACAAATAGGTGCGTAGTCCCTTAGCTACGAGCCCATCAGGCCAGCCCGGCTTGGCAGAGTTCAAGAGGGGGTGCGGCCTTGTGCAGGGGCATTTATAGAGGAAGGTGGCTGGTGATTGGAGCAAATTATTTTGATCTCTCTGGCGTGTGACCTGGGGGTCACGAGTGATATCCCACTAGCGAAGTCCTAAGGGACTACGCACCTATTCGTAGAACTTAAGTTACATTAAGTAACTATTAATTATATGTCACAAGCACAGATGATGAGTACTTATATGTCACAAACACAGATGATGAGTACTTATATGTCACAAACACAGATGATAAGTACTTATATGTCACAAACACAAATGATGAGTACTTATATGTCACAAGCACAGATGATGAGTACTTATATGTCACAAGCACAGATGATGAGTACTTATATGTCACAAACACAGATGATGAGTACTTATATGTCACAAACACAGATGATGAGTACTTATATGTCACAAGCACAGATGATGAGTACTTATATGTCACAAACACAGATGATGAGTACTTATATGTCACAAACACCACCGCACCAGACATTTCTCAGTTTGCTTGGTCCTATGTTTTATAAAAAGTCTATAAAGTTGTTGTTTATTTTGACAGGCCTTGGCTAGGCCCTTTGTGATCCATGGCTTGTCCTGATTACTAACTTTAATAACATATTTCTTAAGTGGACAGTTCTTATCATATAATTTGGTTAGAGTAAATAGAAAAGCATCATAGGCTCTATCAGGGTCTGGAGTTACGTACTTCCCCCCAGGTCTGAGCACATAAGTCAGCCTTGAAGGCTGCAATAGCTTCCGGTGTTCGATGTCTAATAAGTTTGAAAGTATCTGTTTTGGGACTGCTAAGCTGTAACTGGTAAAAAATGGGAAGATGGTCACTAATGTCATTAATAAGTATTCCTGAAGTAATTTGATTACCTATATGGTTGGTAATATATTATCTATAAATGTAGATAATTTGACTGAGATTCTGGTCGGTTTAAGTATAAGTGATAAGAGTGTGTTACAATACATAGTGTTCATGAACTCATTTGTTTTCACATTATTCATAGGATTTAGGAGATTGATATTAAAGTCACCACATACAATGTGGATTTTATTTAGAATACAGAACTTTGGATTTTTTGGTTGAAAATATCAAGACATGGACCAGGTGTTCTGTACAAGCAGCTAACAACCATGTTTTTAGGTTTTTAAATATGAATTTCAACGGTTAAGAACTCCAAAGTAGAAGAGGAACTGCAATATTGAGAGGGGACAAGGGCATCATTGAAATAGTTCATAGCCCAACGCCATGGGTGTCGTCCATCATAGCAACTCCAAAACCCAAAAATCCACCTGTGCATTGACATGTGCCTGCCAAACACGGCTGTCCAGAGGCACATAACACCTACAGTGGATGACATCATTCATGATCTTAACGGTGCAACTACCTTCTCAAAGCTGGACCTAAACGCAGGATACCATCAACTGGAACTAGCACCTGAATCCAGATACATGAGCACATCTTCCACACATGTGGGACTGAGGAGATATACAAGACTCATCTTCGGAATATCCAGTTTCCAGCGTACAATTCCAAACGTGCTGCATGGATAACCAGGAGTAAGAAACTTCAGTGATGATTTCAGGGGCCACACATGCAGATCATGTTTGTTTCGTGGAGGCAGTCTTCGTGCGACTCGCTGAGAACAACCTCACAATCAATGAGCAAATATATCCATCCATCCATCTTCTTCCCCTTAATCCATTTCTGGGTTGGGGGGTTGGCAATCAGAGATGGACCCAATTCACATAGCACCAGCCCCTCACTGATCCTGAGGTGGCTGCTCTATCAGTGAGCATAGCCTAGAAAAATATGTGTTCAACAAACTGTTTTTGGAATTCTACGGCAATGTTCTTTTAACTGAGAGCCACACCAGCATGGTCAACCAAATCGCTCTTTACATTTATAACTTTTCTTAAAAATTCATTTATGCCTGGACCCTGGAAAAAGCTGTTAAAGCTTTGTTCCCCAAGTTTTGCACTCAAGCCTCTCCCCTCTAATTTTAACCAAATCCCCCTAGTTTTAATTATACTTTTAAGGACTTTTTTGGTAATAAATCATTCTTAAACTTTTAAAACTGTTGTGATCCTTGTACCCTGGTGATCAGAACAGAGTTTGACGGCGTCACACTGTTGATCTATGGAACAGTCTATCTATTCAACTTAAGGGCTCAAGAACTATTAAAACATTCAAAAAAAAGTATAAGTTAAATATTATGGAGAAGTATAGGACAATTGAATTGGACTATGCTTAATAACTCGTGTTTATGGAAGTTCATGTTTTGTGCTTCATGTTACCATCGTTGGTATATGAGAATCTGTATTTTGTGTCACCTATAATTTTGATCGTGTATAACATAATTTTGATTTGTTGAAGTGCAAGTTTTTGGTGCTTCATGTTACCATCGTTGGTATATGAGAATCTGTATAATTTGTCATCTTTGGACGTATTTTCACATTGTATTAGGGGTTAGGCAGTATAAGTTTGGACTTCAGCCTAAACCCTTTCGGTCAGGTATTGTTTCGCACAAGGTCCTATATGGACACATTTTGGTTATTTTTTTTTGTTATTTTTTTATTTTCTTGTAAATTAAAAGTAAATGTGACGCTTCTGTAAAGCAAGTACAACAGTGTGAGGACTTTTTTACAGTGCCCCGAATGAGAAAATCACCCTCATTTTGTCTGAGGATAAACAAATCCTGTTTTTAATTGTTTTGTGAAATGTTTGCTCCACATCAATTCTCATGCAAATTGAATTGATAATACATTTGTATACATGTTATACGGTCCCAGCTGCTCCTCCCAGTGAGTCTGAATGCAAACTAAAGCGGTGCTCCTGTGTCTATATAAGGCCCATGTGAGTGTGTCCCAGTGATCTCTGCTCTGATGATGCTGTCTGTGGCTCTTCTGCTGCTGCTGGCAGCTGGATCCTGTAAGTCTCTCTTCACATCCAACTCTGCTACAAGTAAACAGTACAGTTTTATCCTCATTATTGTGTTGTGTTCTCCACAGGTGTGAAGAGTGACACACTGACACAGGTGGCCTCGGTGACTGTGCAGCCAGGGCACACTCTCTCCCTCCCCTGTAACGTCTCCTACTCTTTAAGCTACGCCACCGCATGGATCAGACAGCAGGCAGGGAAAGGCCTGGAGTGGATTGGAACCAAAGACACTGACGGGTCCATCTATAAAAAAAGTCTGGAGGACAAATTCAGTATTGATTTAGACACCTCCAGTAACACAGTGACTCTGATCGGACAGAACATGCAGCCTGCAGACTCTGCAGTGTACTACTGCGCAAGACACACACAGTCAAACAAAGAATGACTAGAGCTGAACAAAAATAAGTCAGACTGTTGTTCCCTTCAGCCACCAGAGAGGGAGCCCTACTACATGAGTCATATTTAGTTTTGAATGATTCCTGAAAATAGACACAGTCGAAGACAAAGACAAATTTATATGACTATGTAAGGGATAACGTATATTATGCAGGAAATAAGTACCTTCAGGGCGGAAGCAGACCCCTCCGCTGCGCGTCGGGGTCCGCTTCCGATAATGACCTGCGTAATATACGTTATCGCGCTTATTATACGGCTTTATACCAACAGAACACACAACATAAACTTCAGTCCACTTTTAGGAATGCCGAAAGGTTTCTTTAATGACAGAAAATAAAATAGTTCCCAAAGACTTTCCCGTGGCTATGCTAGCAACAGTTAGGCTAGCAACTTCCAAACTAGAACTCTCTGGAACTGCATGAAAACTGAACAAAGAATTCTGAACATCAGCGGTGAGTGACTCAAACATAAACCTAACCTAAATCCATGATTCGATCCTCTGCAAATGTGTCCGAAAATGTGCCGTATCTACGTCCGGGTTTTTCGAGATCGCCTTTTCTCGCATTACATCAGTGTTTTTGTCATGAAAACGTAAACGGAAAATTCTGAAAACTTCCGTGCACTTGTATAAAGACTGGATATGTATAAATTACTCTCCGATTAACATTTCATTGCGTTGATTGATTTGCGTTTATTGAGCGGCCGGAATGTATATGTATAAGTATTCTCTGATTAACATTTAAGTGTTTTGATTGAGCGTGGCTAGCTCCGGAGTGGCCGGAACTACAGTACTTGCGGAGTTATCCACGCATTTGAAAGACAAGCAGAGAGTGCGTTGCCAAAGGGCAGCGGTCATTATTGTTTTGAGAGGTCCGTTATAGAAAATAATGACCGGTAGAACGTTTTGAAATTACATTCAAATCAATGGAGCGTTCTACTGCTGCTGTGAGGAGCCGTATAATAATTTAAATTAACCATTGACAACTAGTTGGTGCATTTATGTACGAGCTAAACATGCCAAGACAAACACATATTGACTACATTATGACTTGTGATGGGAGACCATAGGTGTATTCAAACACAATTCCACAGAACAAAAAACATGTACAGTATATGTCGCGGCTTAGGAATTACTTAACGCCTACTCACTATGATGTCAATTTAAATATATATAATACCAACAACGCCGCCTTAGAATTTGGCCTAAGGAAACATGAAAAACGTTATCCCATGTTCTAAAGGTCACACAGGTTCGAAGCAACAAATAAAATCAATTTAAGAAACAAATACTGTTTTAAAAAGTGTCCACTACAGAAGCAAGTTGTAGACCCAACTTAAAAAAGGACCCACTCGGAAAAGGGTCGTAAACCACACTTGAAAAGAGTATTGTAGACCCCACTCGAAAAGGGGAGGTAGGAAACAGGACCCTATAATCAATATTGTTTGATTTAGAACAAAAACACTCATGGACTTTGAGGAGCAGCACTGTGTTTGACAAACCGTCTGAAAGAAGCGCTCCGCACACGAGCTGTCCTGATCCTCGCTACGATCGCTCGAGAGATGCATTTTTCGCGGTGAGGGCGGGTCCTGGCTCAAAAAGGTCCATGAGCACATACGCTGACATATTTGCAATCTCACCTCTAGCCGGTGGGGGTGTACCTGGAAAGAGAATTACCCAATGCTTTTTTATGCCTCCTTCTTTCCTCTCGAAAACTGCATTACAGGATGGCCCAAAAGTTGCATCTAAGTTCCAGATGTGTGTCGATGCTGAGGGGAGTATTCTTTTTTTTGGACCAGTCTAGTTTAGCCGCTGTGGACTTTAGAATGCACTCATGAATGGGGCTGGTGCCGGCCGACGCATGTAAGAGGATCTAAGAAAATAAAAGAATCAGCCCGAGGCGCATGGGGCGATAGTGTGGTTCAAATTGCTCACGGCTTCTACTGATTTCCCTCTTTTTAGTGCTTTCACCACATTTCTCAAATTCTGTTTTTGTTAATGGTTGATCACAGTTCAATTTAAATTCTTCTGAAATAGTAGGGACAAGATTTTTCATAGAATTAATAAATGATTCAGATACATCAGGTTGAACTTTATAACAGTAGATATCTCTGTAGAAATGCTCAACATATTTGGACAGTAACTTTTGGTCAGACAACACTTTATCTCCTGATTTCAATGAGTGAAAATCCTTGTCTCTTTCATTTTATTTTCCAACGCAAAAAAGTCCCATTTTCTTTGTGATCTTATAAATGCTCCCTTGGTTGTGTAGTCGCTGACAACAGCAGAATAGCAGAAGCAAACACAGACTGTGGTAGCGGGTCCATGCGCTGGCAAAGGCTGCGTGCTGATTCGCTGTTTTGGTTTCTCTCTCCTGTCAATCATCTCCGGGAGGCTAGAGCTACATGTGAAAGTGTGCTACGTAACAAAATTAATCAGGTTGTTTTTGAGCCTCTGGAGAATGAAAGAGAAAGATCGCTCTCTAACTAAAGCTTCAGGGAATCAATGAAAAATCGACTGGGCATGTGTATGAAGCCAAATAGCACAGTAATGATGTTTAAAGCAGAAATGTCAAAAGGCGTATTATGGGACCTTTTTTTTTTGCTTTTAACCAGGTTTCACCATTGTTCTTTCTTGAAAAACTGACCTGGAGTAATGTGGATAGATTTCTTGCAAACCCACTTTAAAAGTTTTGCTCCAAAATTGGTTTTGGCAATTACTCAAGTGATGCTTTATACTTTTTTTTCCTTATTCACCACATTTTTTTACATTCTAAAACATGAAATGACAGAAAAATAGAAAAAAATAATAAAAACGAGAAATACCCATTCATGGTTTGAAAAGGGATTGGAACCAAAAATGTGTATCAATCGAACCCCCTCCCATTCAGACACACACTACAATACAATACAAAAACAAAAGCAATACCACACACACACACACACACACAGACAGACAAAACACCTTAAATGTCTTAAATGACTCCAATTAATCCTCAGACTAAGACACAGCGGCCATTTTCTTCCTTTTAAAACTATACATGAAAAGTTTATTGTTGTAAAAAAAGTATAGCCTTAATATTCATTTATTTAAAAGGGGTTCTCAAAGAGGGGAGTGGGACCTACAGTTGAGACACGATACACTTATAAAAGGGCGCACAATATGATTTCAAGATAATACTACAAAAATCTTTCACTGTATACAATTATTTTACACGAAATAATGATTAAAGTGGAATTAGGCCAAACAGAAAATCTACAATGGATTTATTATATTTCAACAAAACAACTTTTTGATTTACTCGAGCAGTTGATCTCATATTTTGGAGAGCTCTGAATGACAAGTTGGAGAACCACTGGTTAAATACAGAAGTGATGCAATGTAATTTCCTGCTTCTACCACTGGGGGGGGGGGAGTTTTACAATATCCATTATAGGTCTCATCTTAGTCCATACATTTTCGATTCAAGAAAGATTTGACATTCTAATTCATAAAATGCCAAGATATTTTTTTCAGCATTTCCTTTAGGAGTATAAGTGGTTATAGAAATTAATTTTTCTTTTGACTCTTTTGATTTCAGTGGCCTATGAGGAGCTGCTGGAGGATCACAAAGAAGGTGGGTAAAGATATTATATCATCAAAAACAGTAGGGGGAGGTCTGTCCAATCAGAGGAGGCTTTGAATTGTGGTTAAGTTTGTTCAGGGGTTGACTGGAGAAGAGACAGCAGTGTAAATCTGTTTTAAGTACCGCACTTGCTGCTATAGGTGCCCCTGTATTTACACTGCACCAGCTGAAGTTTGTCAGTGTGATTTATTTGTGCTATACCCTTCTTTTCCTCTGAATATTTGTAAGAAGTTACTTTCCAGCTCTTTATTGCAACTGTCAAGGGATAACATAGGTAAATGAAGTGTGGTAAATCACAAATAAGACACATTATTATTAGTGGTTACTTCCTGAACGGACCGACCTCACCTACACAGGACCTTTTTAGACAATAGGAATGAATAAGTGACAAGTGAATGAATAATATGGAATTTAAATCCACACAGAAAATTAAAACATCAACAGCAATGGATTACATGTATAGTTCTTATTTGCACAGACATTTTTTTACTTGGGGACCTGTGATAAATTGTAATATTTACTGCCTTGCTCTGGAGAAATTAAGAAATTCCTCGAACATATGCTGTATGAACTTTTAAATAAAGCTGGGGTACCAAAAGTTTTTTCAGTATACAACATGTTTATGTGTCCCAACAGAGAGAGTAAAAGTAAAATATTGTGACCAAATCAGACCACGCCCCGCTGTCTTTATCCAATTCACATTCATATTTTGCTTTGTATATATTTTGCAATGTGTTACTGTAGGCTGAGCGGACTTCTCTCACTACATTTGGTTGAACGTTAGGTATCCCAGCTTTAATTGAACTGTATGTCATATTTTCTGTGTTTTTCCAACGTTAACATATGCTGTCTAGATTCTACTAAATATATTTGATCTTTTGGCAGTAGCCCAGTCTTTCGACCCGTCTCACCAGATCCTGGGAGAGAACATTGCTTTGGCCATCATCCTCCCCATCATCCTGGTCATCCTGCTGATCGGAGGCATTTACATGTACTACACAAAGTACGTCCATGTTTTTATTTAACTTATCGTTGAAATATTGGTCCCTATCACCCATTATTAGGAACATGTAACTCCGCCCCTTCTGTTTAAAAGCTCCGGCCTGATGCTGCGTTCATGCAATCTCGGAAACTCTGCTGTATCTACCTAATCCTCCAGTGTTCATAAATAGATAGATACTTTTTTGGTCCCCGTGTGAGGAGCTGGCGCAGCAACAATAAGCAAATATAAAAATGTGCAAAATTATTCTTGATTCTCTTTGCTCGTTCATTGTTTTGCTGTGAGAAATACAGAGGCAAATATGTAGTTTCACTGATAAGACGTGTTTATACGATCTTAAAAGCAGCAGTATTTCCCAGATAAAATTACACTCTCCACTGACTCCCACTGGTGTCTGCTGTTGTGTCCTTGCCCAAGACACTTAAGCCCACTTTGCCTTTTTGTGGCCATACTTGCATGCAAAAGCCAGATCCTGTCAGGCATTTGAAGCTGTGCAGAACAAGGCCTGGTTAGTGCTGAGATGGGAGACCTCTGGTGTGTGTGAATGGTTGGCGGTGGTACATACTGGTCGCCTCGCTTCTGTCAGTGTAGTTTATCACCAACGTGTATGGAGTGAATAATGACATGTGTGGCGTTTTTTGAGTGTCCAAAAAAGCGCTATATATAAAACTGATGCATTATTATTTTTATTACAATCAAATGGCTGTGGTTTGCTGCTGGGAATTTTTGATTTTGTGAAAAAACAAGATTTGTCTACACCTCCCTGGTGGTACAACCTTGTGGTGTCAGAGACATATTGCAGGCTGATAGTATTGTTTACCCTTCATACTTGCTTCATTCTATATTTTCCACTCAAGATATCGTTTGACATTTTAAAACATGAAAAGTCAGACGTCTCTTTACTATTTTTAACGGCCAAAAATAATGCTTAATATTTCTTCTTTAAAAGCATCTGCAGATTAGAATGGAAGCCGCTGTTTTGGAAGTCTCTGTCCCACACACACTCCTACAGCCCCATCACGGTGGAGTCAGACTTCAATAACCCTCTGTACGAAGCAGGGGTGAGTACACAACATTCTCCACAAACACACACCACCAAATGTTTACACATTTATAATATTTTTGTATTTCTGTCTCACTCCAGGACACACGAGAATACGAAGTTTCCATTTAACTGTATGTGTGTGAAACCAAAATGACACAAAGAAAGATTAACTTTATACAAAAAAAATGTAATTTTTATATCATTTGTATTATGCATTTCTTTTGTTTTTGTTTAGTTTATTGAAATTCTTTGGGACATTGTGATTCCTGTGTTGCTTTGTGACGTTGATTGGCTCAATCATGGATTCTTTGCAATTTGTCAAGACTGGTGCCTTATCATGGGTATGGAAACTCCAACACAAAAGGCCAGCGAGTGGTTTATAATATTCATGTTTGCACTTATTTATCGATTTATTTACTTATTTAAATATTTATTTATTTATTTGATTGTAGGCCAAATATATGTGAACTTGGCAATATGTCCTTTGATAAAAATCTTACGGCGACGCATTATGTGCACACAACAATTGAATGTTTTCTTTTCAAGTGGCTCTTGTTACTGTCGGGTTTTGGAAAATACAACCGTCAAAGGGGAGTGTGTTGTTAGAAAATGATCTTCACTTTGTGTGTATCTGAAACACACACAAACTGAATGTAAATATGTGACTTGATGAGGTTCGTGCAAATATACTTGCTTACAATACGCACATAGGCACACACAGGCACACGCACACGCACACAATACGCACACAGACATACACATGCACATGGACGCACACATGCACATGGACGCACACATGCACATAGACGCACACAAGCACATGGACGCACACAGGCACATAGACGCACACACGCACATAGACGCACACAGGCACATAGACGCACACAAGCACATGGACGCACACAAGCACATGGACGCACACAGGCACATAGACGCACACAAGCACATGGACGCACACAAGCACATGGATGCACACAGGCACATAGACGCACACACGCACATAGACGCACACAGGCACATGGACGCACACATGCACATGGACGCACACATGCACATAGACGCACACATGCACATAGACGCACACATGCACATGGAGACACACATGCACATGGACGCACACATGCACATAGACACACACAGACACACACATGCACACAGAAACCCACGTGCACACACTTACACACAGGCACACACCTGCACACAGACACCCACATGCACACACACGCACAAAGACACACACTTACACACAGGCACACACATGCGCACACACAGGCACACACCTGCACACAGACACCCACATGCACACACACGCACAAAGACACACACTTACACACAGGCACACACATGCACACAGACACACACATGCACACAGACACCCACATGCACACACACGCACAAAGACACACACTTACACACAGGCACACAGACACACACATGCGCACACACAGACACACACATGCACACAGACACCCACATGCACACACACGCACAAAGACACACACTTACACACATGCACACAGACACCCACATGCACACACACGCACAAAGACACACACTTACACACAGGCACACAGACACACACATGCGCACACACAGACACACACATGCACACACACGCACAAAGACACACACTTACACACAGGCACACACATGCACACACACACACACACACGCACAGACACACACACAATGTATAAGCCTCGTCCATATATACGCGGTTCTCTCCTTTCATTACCAGTATAATGGAAATCCAGTGCCAAATTATAACGTGTATAAATATGTTACGTCTCTGTGTTTCATCTGTTGTTCGAAGAGTGTTTACAAAGGGAAGTGTTTCTTTTATTCTTTGGAAAACACGCCACGACCACCCGCTGTCACCGAGCGCCCCGGAGAGAAGGGAACATGAATGTCATATTGCTTCAAGCATGCACTGATTGTAAATTCTATTGCTTCTGCTCAGTCTTAACATTATGATTAGCCTCACACACATGCCATGGTTCTCAGATTTGATGTTGTATGCGCTATGTTACAAAAAATACTCCAGACTTGGCTGCTTGCTGTAACGCATTATGTATTTATTTACACCTGATTGTTTGGACAGTAGGTTTAGTCTCATCTGCTGTTTTGGATTAACAATCATGGAGACTGTTGGTTTGTAGATTTCTCTTTTCACCTGTAGCATTTTTGGCTTCATAAACAAATCACTTTTGAAGGCAGTGATCTATTTGCTGAACAGGAAATAAAGTCATTGTTGAATGGTGTAAGATGTGGTCCTTGATTTCATTCATTATTCTAGTTTATTTGATCCTTTAACACTGCTGCAGGGACAGTAGGCCTGCGCAATTATAAAAAATATGAGGTTTAGTTTCTATTCATTTATCATTTATTGATTTATTTCTGTTAAATAAATAAAAAAATCATTAATCCTAGGCTTGTGTATGATATTGGTGTGAATTCATAAAGTTCGGAGCAAAGCACTGACTCCTGTTTACTTACATTATTGGCAAAATAGTAGGTTTTAATGTATTTAATATACAGCTATTTTAATGTATTTATGTTTATATCTAGAGGGCTTTTGTGATTTATTTCTTTTTACCTTTGGAACCACTTTGTAAGTAAGGTCGGATTAAGGCTCATAAATAAATAAATGTTAAGTCCTTTGTCAAAAAATGGGGCAAAATGTATCTTTATAAATAGATTCAACTTTGTTGTATAAATATGTATCAATAAGATTCTATAGAGCAAACAATAAAAGGTCCTCCTCGTTTAAGTCCTTCTCCAACAAAGTGCCGGACCTCGGGGGACCAAGCACTTCTGGATCCTGGGGGACAGAGCCTCTGCTGCAGCTTCCCTCACTCTCCAGAACTCACTCCAACGATCAGGAACTGGGACTCCCTCCAGAGATGTACGGCCACGGATCTATGATAATAAGTACACGGCCCACCTCTAGTTCCTTCAATTTTAATTACATTTATTCAAATTTTGTTTGATTTCTATTTATTTATTTGTCTGGATCAAGCAGATTATTTAAGAGCAGGAAAGACATGCAGGTTATGTTATTCACAAATCTAATCAGATAAATCTAATTATACTGCAGAAGAATGTAAAGTGGATCCATCTACAGTAACTTGCGTCAGATTACAGTTTGATGAGATGTTTTCAGTTGTTGCCATCTCAGGGACTTGGATTGCACAGGATAAATTAGATGGTTTGTATAATGTTTACTCAGAATAGAATTAACAAAAGATTGAATGGTTGATTTATAATGTATTCGTAAACCTACAGATCATTTATATGCATGGAGTGTATTGTCCACTAGAGGGCGCCGCTGCTGCTCTTGTGCAGTCACAGCAGAAGAAGCAGAGCTAGCTAAACCACTTAGTGTTAGCAAAACATCTTTCATGTGCAACGTCAGAACATCAGCACTTAACACTGGAGGAAATGTGTATATCAGAAGAATCAGTTGTAAGAGTTCTTTAGTGCAGAGCTTTCTGTAAACACCGTGACTGTGGTGACCATCGTGAGTGTTTTTCTCTTTAGCTTTAGCTTTAGCTTTAGCTTTAGCTAAGTGACTGCTGCTGCGACTGCGTAAGAAAATGAGCTGTTAGATCGAAACCTTTTTAAGAAGCGAATCAAAGGTTTTTATTTTTGCTTTAATTATTCATTATATGTTGGACCTTCCAGATACATTTGAGTGTTTTGTCCGATTGTTGCTGATCCTTGGATGTTAATTCTGGTGAGTACAAAGTCCACATTCTGACAGATGGGACTGGCTTTTGACGTTCTAATCTTTAATATCACAGCAGTACATGTTAAAAGCTTCGTAATCCTCCCAGTGTTTGTTTTTTGATATTGTCCGAGTTTTGTTTCCAAAAGTCAAGTACAATTGTTGAGCTTTCAGTGTGATTAGTAGTTATTAGCTAATATCCTATATCCCTATGATAATGTCCCATTACTGAAAAATGCACTGTTGCAACAGCTGGAAGGTTATCAATGCAGAGTAGACATAGTTAAAACTATTATATTCTTTCTAGACAGACTTCTGATTGGATATACACTGTCGTGCTCGGACATGCTCATCACACCTGCTCATCAGCAGATCTCAGATACTCAGCAAGGCTGGGCCTGGTCTGACTTGTGATGGGAGGCCATAGGTGTATTCAAACACAATTCCACAGAACAAAAAACATGTACAGTATATGTCGCGGCTTAGGAATTACTTAACGCCTACTCACTATGATGTCAATTTAAATATATATAATACCAACAACGCCACCTTAGAATTTGGCCTAAGGAAACATGAAAAATGTTATCCCATGTTCTAAAGGTCACACAGGTTCGAAGCAACAAATAAAATCAATTTAAGAAACAAATACTGTTTTAAAAAGTGTCCACTACAGAAGCAAGTTGTAGACCCAACTTAAAAAAGGCGGTCGACCCACTCGGAAAAGGGTTGTAAACCACACTTGAAAAGAGTATTGTAGACCCCACTCGAAAAGGGGAGGTAGGAAACAGGACCCTATAATCAATATTGTTTGATTTAGAACAAAAACACTCATCGACTTTGAGGAGCAGCACTGTGTTTGACAAACCGTCTGAAAGAAGCGCTCCGCACACGAGCTGTCCTGATCCTCGCTACGATCGCTCGAGAGATGCATTTTTCACGGTGAGGGCGGGTCCTGGCTCAAAAAGGTCCATGAGCACATACGCTGACATATTTGCAATCTCACCCCTAGCCGGTGGGGGTGTACCTGGAAAGAGAATTACCCAATGCTTTTTTATGCCTCCTTCTTTCCTCTCGAAAACTGCATTACAGGATGGTCCAAAAGTTGCATCAAAGTTCCAGATGTGTGTCGATGCTGAGGGGAGTATGCTTTTTTGGACCAGTCTAGTTTAGCCGCGGTGGACTTTAGAATGCACTCATTAAATGAATGGGGCTGGTGCCGGCCGACGCATGTAAGAGGATCTAAGAAAATAAAAGAATCAGCCCGAGGCGCATGGGGCGATAGTGTGGTTCAAATTGCTCACGGCTTCTACTGATTTCCCTCTTTTTAGTGCTTTCACCACATTTCTCAAATTCTGTTTTTGTTAATGGTTGATCACAGTTCAATTTAAATTCTTCTGAAATAGTAGGGACAAGATTTTTCATAGAATTAATAAATGATTCAGATACATCAGGTTGAACTTTATAACAGTAGATATCTCTGTAGAAATGCTCAACATATTTGGACAGTAACTTTTGGTCAGACAACACTTTATCTCCTGATTTCAATGAATGAAAATCCTTTCTCTTTCAATTTATTTTCCAACGCAAAAAAGCTTCAACCATTTTCTTTGTGATCTTATAAATGCTCCCTTGGCTGTGTCAATATTAGGGCTGTCAAAATTATCGCGTTAATTCACGTTAATTACCGTTTTCATTAACGCGTTAAAAAATAATTAACGCATTAACTGCCATTGACGTGTTAACACGTCAATTGCGTTTCCCGCTATTTTCACATTCCCAGATGTCTATTGTATCAAATATGTAAGGCTTGAGTCAATATTTTATCAAGCCAGCAGATGGCAGCATTGCTCTATGAATGGTTTGGAAACATGTGCCTCTTTTCTCTCAGCTTTCTGGTGATTTCAATAAAACTTACCTCTACTCGACTGGGGATTACAGGGGAACGAAACAAGCTAGAAACAAAATTATTTTTGCTGATGAACGTAGACAGTCCATTCTTTCAGAATATGGTTTTGGATTTCAGATAGTCATAGTACACAATATTCTGTGGGTCTTGAAAATTCAGTAAAAATCATCAGAAACGGCTGGCAATATGAGAGTACCTGTTCTGAAATAGACTGGCAGTCAATCACATGTCCGAATGACCCGCCCATTTATAATAATATCACTCAGAATGCCACGGACACGTGTGTGTGTGATGGTGACAGCAGTAACGTGGTCATATAATACACGCATATATATACACGCACAGGGGCCATTCTCTGATGTTGTGTGACACACGGAGGAGAGGAGGAGACACGCTGAAATGCAACCAAACTCGCAAAATTAAAGCTGGGGTACCTACATTTTCCCTTTCATTAACAGCTCTTGTTGGTTGTACCCAAAAGTAGAAGGTTGTGAGCAAGTCAAACAGATTGAAGTACATTTGGTTTGAATAACAATGTGTCATCCATCCATCCATCCATCTTCTTCCCTTTAATCCATTTCTGGGTCAGGGGGGTGGCAGTCAGAGATGCCACCCAAGTCTCATAGCACCAGCCCCTCACTGACCCTCTGCAGGTGGTGAGTCCACAGGAGGACGGCTGCTCTCTGAGTGTGAGCATAGCCTTGATCTTTCAGCGGGGGCTTTGGGCAAAGTGGGGTTAAGTGTCTTGCCCAAGGATACAACGACAGCAGTCATCAGTGGGAGTCGGTGGAGAAGGTGCAGAGGTGGGAATTTAACTCACGGCCTTCTGGCCTTAAGGCCAATGCTCTACCAACTGAGCTACTGTCGCTCTGTACATTTGAAAATCTCATTTAACTTCAATTGGAGTGGATTTGAAATAGAATGCTAAAAATGCGATTAATCGTGAGTTAACTCACCATTACTATGCGATTAATCAACTAAAAAAAATTAATCGTTTGACAGCCCTAGTCAATATAGAATTGATCAATTTCTTCTTTTAAAAGCTTTAACTTGTTTTTTACTTCTTAATTTAAATTAGTTTTAAGTAGCAATTGATTAAGATCATTCATTAAGCTGGTTTCTTTTCAAATGTTCATCTTTATATTTTTTGTTAAAGCTAGTTCTGAACGACAGTACCTTGACAAAAGCACACACACAGGACTGAACATGGAGAGGCTGCATTTCAGATTCATGCTGCTAAAATCTGGAACAGTCTTCCTGAAAGTGTGAGACAGGCCTCCTCTCTGACAATGTTTAAAACCAGGTTAAAAACAGTTCTGTTTAGCTGTGCATACAACTGAGGGATTTTATATTTTTATCTTTCTTTTTAATGTACCGTGATTATTTATGATTTTAATGCCATCTTGTTTTTCTCAGCACTTTGAATTGCCTTGTGTATGAATTGTGCTATATAAATAAACTTGCCTTGCCTTAATTAGTTTATACTTGCATGCAACAAGGAGGAGATGGTTTTATGGCGGCGAGGAGGCATCTGCGTCCTCTGCAGCTCAAAACCAAGATGTTTTTTAAAGGAAAATACAAAAGCATTGGGTAATTCTTGTTCCAGGTACACCCCCACCGGCCCGGAGTGAGATTGCAGCAAGTCAGCGCACGTGCTTATGGACCTTTTGGACCCAGGACCCGCCTCCACCGGTCCCGCCCTGATGTGTTGGATGTGTGCGTGGCGTCGTGCTACCCACAATTCATAGCGACCGGTAGTTGTGCCGTCATATTGGACTGCAGAAAGCTGACAACTGTCATGCAAACGCTAGTGAACGCTTAAAATCGAGTGATAATTCCTTGGTAATTTTGATGCGAGATTGAAATGGATAAATCGTGATGTGTGGGCAAAGAAACGGGGGAGAAACGGGAAGTATGAGGAACAGGGGAACGGGACACGGAACAGAACTGAGAGGCGAGCTGGAGAGCAGAGTGAACGGGACCAGAGTGCATGGAGAACCAGTGTGTGCAGTGGACCAGATCCATGCGTGAATTAAATCATTATTTAAATGTACAATTTAGAAATTGCATATTGACCAAAAACACACATTATTTTATTATTCATTGTTTGCAGTAAAAAAAAAAATATATATAAATGAAGATGATGATTGGGTTTGTTACAGATGAATGAATGAAGCTTTTAGTACGGACTCATGGTCCAACATTGACACACACAAAAAGGACAAAACATACATGTTAAAAAGACAGAAGACAACTATACCAGTGCGTCCACATCCTCGACTGATAACGGGCCGCACTACACCAGATATCAACCAGTGACACAACTATTTCATTGACAGACCTGTTCAATCGTCCAATGAAGCTGTTCGTGAGTGTCCGCAGTGTGGCCTGTAAGGTGTTGACTCTTGCAGTGACAAACATCTCACTCGCACTGGTCCATCTCGGCCTCCTGAGAAGCACTCGGAGAGCATCATTACAAGCCACCTGCAGCTTTTGCATTGATCCTTTTTTGTCAAAGATGAGCGGAGTACAGCGGTGTACAGTAAGTCTTAAAGAGCCTTATCTTGACCTGGTCTGTGCAGAATCCAAATCTGCGTGCCAGAGTATTGGCCTGAGCATATAGCATCCTACATTGTCTCTTAATGTCATCATCATCAGAAAGGTCCTCTGTGACTCTAAGCCCCTGGTATTTTATTTTGCTTGAAACAGTAAGTGAAGTGTTTGACAGATAAAAAGTTGGAAAATTCATATTTCTGTCCTCCCATGACCATACTTTTGGATGCATTAAACAGGAGGTCATGCTCTATACCAGGGGTGTCAAACTCATTTTGGTCCGGGGGCCGAATACTACCTAATTGGATCTCAAATTGGCCGGACCAGAAGATGCTCTACAAAAATACCCAAAAACGGTACAAAGTCCAACTTTTTGTGCACATAAACACATTTATTTAAAACTTCCTTTAAAACACTGTTCTTTAATACTCGCTCAGTTTTAACGGTAAATATGTTACAAACTTAAATGTAACAGTGAGTTTTTCATAGTGCAAATAATGTAATGTATTTACAATATTACATTGTAAATGGCATTTCACAATATT